GACAAGACCTAAGGCTAAGGAACAGGTTTTTGTTGTTGTTTGTTTAATTGCTGTATTTGTATGTTTCATATGATAAACATTGCAATAAATAAAAAAAAAAAAGGCAATCTGAAGTTAAAGTAGCATAGGGCTCCTGATGGCATGTGTTATTGTGTAGGTTTGTGTAAAGTATGTTTTTAAAGGCACTTTTTTAAAGGAATACTATGAGGCATTTTTTATTTACATACATGTGACCTTTCATTGTACAATGTTTTCCATAAGTTTTCTTAACTAGTTGTTCAGTGTTTAGCACCTGCACCTGAAAGGTGCTAAGCATCTGATTGTTTAAAATCTGTGCTTAAAAAGCAAAAATATCTGTGCAACCTGTCTCCCGTATGAGAAGAAAAAAATCTGTTGTTTGTAATGCTTTGAAGCCAGAAGTTGTTTCTTTATTTTCACAAGGCTTGAGCAAAGAGCTGTGTTGCAACCTGCAGTTATGTTGTTAGGTAAGGCAGGGTGGAGTGTAACAGGTGCTTATTAATACCTCTAGGCTACAGGTAAAGGTGACTGTATTTTCTTGAGTGTTCACAGACCTAAGCAGGTGGATGTTGTTTTAATAATTAGGTTGAGAGTGGACACTATTTATCCTCTGTTTTTAATGGCATACTTTTAATGTAGATCTGTGAAAGAAATGGTAACTCTTCAAGTTAAGCAACAATTTGGGTCTTATCCTTGTTGTATCTTCCAGCTCCCTACTTCTAAATAAAAAGGCAAGTACATAATTTCAAAAATGAAAATTTGTCTCTGCTCTTCCAAGCTAAAATAAGTTTCTTCTGGAGATTTTTTTTTTCCTGGAGGTTTTTTTTTCCTAAAGCTTTTTTTATTTGTGGGTTTTTAATAAATCGATTTTAAATATGAATTCGACAGGATTTTAAATCTGAAAAATGGAAACAACACAGAGCAGCACAGTACAACACTGTAACCATACTGTATATTTCCGAGGTGATTATAATGGTGAATTGAAATTGCATAACAGATACAAAATGCAGAAGCTGACTGCAAAGCTTTGAACTTCATCACTGCTTTGTGTATCAAACAATGCTTCAGAAGCAACAGTTTAAATCGGAGAAAAATGTTAAATAAAATTTAACTTAGTATTTTGCGTTTTGACTGAAGATGAAAAGTGTACGTGAGATAATGCGAACACAGAGTCTGTCAAACTGTGGATTACGAAGGTCTTTTCTAAGATAGTTCAGTTACAGTGGACTAAACACTACAGATGGTTTTGCCTGTGCTGCTCCTTCATGACTTCCATCAGCCCGGCTCTTCTGACCCTGCAGGAAGCCATAGCAGAAAAAAAACCCTGCATTCTGTTTGAAGAACTCTAGGTAAAAGAATGAAGTGAAACCTGGAAGTTTTGGTAGTGTTGTTTTGGGGTTTTATGACTCTTAAATACCAACAGGAAATGTAATGCTGGACCCACTTTTTTTAAACACACAAACATTTGTCAGGAGCAATTTTTATATGGTATTTCCCATAGTCTACAGTTCACCAGTAAATATTTGACCAGTGATAGCATGCCAACTTCAGCAGATGACCCCTAGATCAGTATTCCCCTTGTTGCTGTCATTGTTATATTTATATTTACTTAGCCCTTACCGCTGTGTACTTCACCTTGTCTTCCCTGTTTCTCCCACCTGCTAAACGTCCACTTTTGCATCCTTCGTTTGCATTATCCCCCTTTGCTCTCCAGACTTTGCAGTCATGTGGTTTCTCCTGCAGCAGCAATGCTTTGAGTCCCAGCCACAGGACATCGAAGAGGCGTGAGTCCAAAGGCCTGCTGCAAGATAATGGGGAAAGCTTGGGCTTCTCAGAGTAACAGTGCTGCTGTTCCTGGCATTTTCTTAGTACCTGCTGTTACAGACCCCTGGCAGCATCACCTCTGTCTTTGACCCTCATAAGCCAGGTGCCATTTGGTATTGACCCTACTATTTGGGAAATTAATGCCCTGAATTGAAGAAAACTTGTGTTTTTTCTTTCATACAGATGATACAAATGTCAGGAGCTGCTCGTGGGTCGTTCCTCTGCATTTCCTTCAGTGCATAGAGAGCTGAGAGCATACTCACAGCTGTCTAAAGTAGCTGGGGCAATCACCCTGTGCTGAAGGAAATTTGCAGCAGCTTTGCAAAATTGCCTTTGGCATCTGTTTTAGTGTTCCTGTAGAACCAGCTTATTCCTTTTTTTTTTTTTTTTTGTCAGTTGATGCAGCATTTTTCAAAACAAGCTAGTCAACATTTTTAAAGATTTTTATTGCAGTTTCTTTCGGAACTGGGAAGTGCCCAAATATCCATCCATCTTTGCTATATCATTGTTCCTGAATGGGAATTGCTTTTTTTCCCCATATAGTGTTTGTGCTCCTAGTACTCCCTATCTTGTCCATCCCTCTGATTACTGCTTTATTTTCTTTAGTAGGTTAAAATTAATTTAAATGGCATTTTAACACTTCCTTTCTCCAGTTATGGTACATGTTTTTTTCTTTAAAGTAGCAGGCATACAGTGGTGAACTGTACATTGAAGTTTAATTATTTTGTGATTATATCCACTCAAGTATATCCAGGCACAGAGTTTGCTAATGAAATACAGTTCAGTGATCCCATTTCTTGTTCAATGGCATCACCTTTTGACAAGTATTTTCTAAGGAAAAAAGATACGTTTGATAAATTTGATACAAGGAAGAAAATTGAGAGAGAAATTGTTTCTTTTTTTTCTAGAGGCTGTTGTTTCTACAGATATTACTCATTTATTAAAGACATGCCATCTAGAGAGAGGTGTATTCAAATTATATATCTGGATTTGCAGATACCAAAAGAAAGCCCTCCAGGGAGCCTTGCATACGTATGGTATTTCTTAAACTGTGGCAGTATATTACTAAAACTGTGTAAGAGAATTCTTCTTTATGTTTTTGGAAGCTCTCTTATCTGTAGAAAAATATTACTGACTTCTGCAGTTTTGATAGGGATATAAGCATGGAATTGAAATTCTCAGTAGCCACTTGTTTTCCCAAGCTTATTTTTGTCACTTCCTTATAACAGTCCCTGTGTTATAAGGCCTTTGTGATAAGATTTCGGGATCTGCATTTGCCTTTACTTCTGTTCTACTACTCAGCTTTCTCCATTTTCCCCAATATGGTGGGAAAAAGGAAAAAAAAAAAAAAAAAGCTGTATTTTACTGCTGTCCCATTGCAACAGTAGTTCCAGTGCTCAGCCTGGGTTTAGTCTCTGTGCAACAGCATTTCCCCTGGAGCTCCCTCAATAAAATGTGTCACGAGACCTATGTTATATTGAGGTCTGTGGCTTTTGGGCCTTTATTCACTAGAACATACTCAGTCCAGAGTTTCTCAGGTTGTCCATTAAATCAGGAAGCAACGCTTGATACATGCATTTCGAAGAGCTGCCTTGGATAATATAGCTATTGTATCGCTTGATTTTTGGATCGTGATTTGTTTAATGAACACAGGTAATGCCACTCTTCTCCCAGAACTCTCCTTGTGTTCTGGGGCATGTATGTCGTTAAAGAGATCCTGACACTGTCACTTGAGGATGATTCTCTAGGTCAGTAAGGAGAAGGGGAATATTCTCAAGACTACACAGTATATTATTTCCATTCAGAAACACAGTGTATTTTCCTGCTGCTGCTTTTTTCCAATTCCTGTAACTAATAGGATTCATCAAGTGTAACACTAAGTCTGGAGTATAGTTTAGTTTCTGTGAAATGTTGTCCTGTGTTTTAGTGTCTCTCCCTGTCCTCACCATCCCAAATAAGCGTGACTGAGAAATAAAAAGCACCTTCCCAGGATAGCTGTCAGCTGCTTTTGTCTTGAATCTCTCTGCTGGGCTTCATGAGACAGCATTTGCAAATTTGGGCATTGGAGTTAATGGAAGTGCATTTTGAATACATTCTGAAGTGCAGTGCATGATTCCATATTGCTGTTTAGGATGCAAATGTCTCCATCTTCTTTTCTCACTGTCTAACAAAAACTGGTATGTTGGTGAAATTGATATAATTAACATGACTGATAGGAAAAAAAGGCATTGACTTTATTAAAAATGTTCTTCATCAAAGGCTTCTGGTCTTGCATTAAATCATTCTGTGCTGGTGAAGAGGCATGTAGTCGTCGTCGTTTTTGATGTCTAAGCAGAAATGAGAGTAAAGCCCATCTGTTTGCATTCCTAGGCTACACTGCAGTTTTATACATATTCTGTCAGTTGGCAGTGCTGGTAGGTTCAAGCTTAAAACACTGCATTGAAGTCACTCAAAGTAACAGCTCTATGGGGAATAAAATATCACAGCTTACTTGCTTAATGCAAGAATGATGTCAAACATGTCACTTTGCTTTAAGATTATGCAAAAACTATACTTAAGTCCTTTTCAAGATTGGTATATTGATGATTCACAAGCATTGTTAATTTAGAAGAATTTGTCATATTAGGACTTCTACTGTGATAAATGTTGCCTGCTAATAGATGGATACTGATTCTTTTATGGTAGTTACAATACTGTATTTCTTAAGAAATATTTTTTTCTAGTGATAGATGCTGCTATAATATTTAAAGTCCAGTACTTTAAAAAGTGGACACTTCTTAAAACTTTGCATTTTAAAATTACTTTGACTTCTGAACATGTATCACTGAGTAATAAGTAATATCCGTGTTACTTCTTATGTAACCCACTTGCTTTAATCCTCATTGTGTGAGGATATATGTAAAGGAAATTAAAAAAAAAAAACCTGCTACTGACAAAGAAACAAAATAGTGTATTAGAAAAAAACCTCTTCCTTCTAATCAACTTCAAAATTTCACGTATTGACAGCCATGCTTTCTTTTCTTTCAGCACACACAACTCCACTCTGTGCATTTTCTCTAATGATCACTGAATGCTCTTACAGATTTTTTTTTTTTTTTTGGTTCACTGTATGGTCCTAATTGATGCTTTTGTATATTTTTTTTTTTTTAATTTAACAGTTGTTCCTGTCATTTTGAAAGCACTGACATATGATGAGAAGAGGGGGGCATGTAGCGTGGGTTCCAATGTGAGAGATGCAGCCTGCTATGTGTGCTGGGCCTTTGCTCGTGCTTACGACCCTGGAGAACTGATACCATTTATTAATCAGATTTCAAGGTAAGTTGTGGCAATAAGAAACTGAGCTATTTACAGTTAATTTTTAAAAACTATTCAAAATTAGGAAGGAGCTAGAAGTTAATCTAATAGTCTAATCCTGTATCTTCTAAAAGTTAATCTAAGATTCTAATGCTCTGTATTTAAGACATTTAAAATTAGATATTGACCAAAAGTGATACATCCATTTAGGGGAAATATCTTCATGCTTAAAAAGTAGCTGGTGTGTCCCATATAACATGAGTGAAATTCATTGATGTCTGGATATTGTTTGCCAAGGAATGGATATTTTGTTTCTCTATGATAATTTTTACTAAAGGTCGTTGATTCATGCTAACAGATATGCTGAATAAAAGATAAAGAATTGACTATGGGTGGGATGACAATGACATAAACAATACCATTGCCTTTCCATGTAATTGTTGAAGTCTAAAATGTCTTCCTGTTGCGGTATGATGCAGTTTAACTTTTTGGATTGAAATGCATCTAAATATTTCCTTCTCAAGTGTGATGACTTCATTTCCTTCTGGTTTTCTGTCATAAGAAAACCAAAGAAAAATCCAAAGAGATTCACTGTAAGAAGATTCAGAGAAATTAGTGGAGGCTTTGAGTGAGGGGGTGTCATCTGTTGTCTGCTTAATCACCTGCTTTATGGTTAGCACAGGGAAACTGATTCAGGAAGTTTAAGAACATTTGGAACCTTAGTGCAGTAGAGGTAGAAATAACAAACCACTCTAAAATTGGGGAGTTGCTTTATGGAGTCATAAAGAGCTGGAAATATGAGAAGACAAAACTTATGGAAGAAGTTACTTCCTACCTTTTCAGGCGAATGCTTCTTTCTAATGATCCAGGAGTTTTGTTACTTTGTCAGATGGGTATTGTGCAAAGAATATAGCATGTCTTTATTGACCAGCTTACAACCTGCAAGTTGAGCAGGTTAGGTCTAAAAGAATAAACTACACTTCAGCTCTTCTCCACATAGCCATTTTGGAGCCTCCCGGTTCTTCTGTACAATTTATGATTTTCGTTTCGAACTGTTCCAATTCGAAGATTATTGTGAGTAATAAAATCACTTTCAGTTGCTGAAAGTGGTAGGAGCTTGAGCTCTACACAGTGATTCTGAATTCTTAGTAACGTATCACTTTTGAATAATGGCATTTTTATTGTAAATAATAAGGTGTTTTAGTTAAAGTTAACAAATGCATGAATTTTTTTTTTTCTTTTGATACCTTCTTTTTTATAGCATACCCCAGTCCAGAATGACCACAGTACTAAACTCTACTTACAGTTCAATGGAAACACATGCATGTACTTCTTTTTCAATCTATGGTTTCTGGTTCAAAGGACTTTCAAAAGTAAAATTTTCAAAAGATTTCCAAATCAAAATCTGTGATACTGCAATGGTGGACTAGAACTTGGTTGCAGCTCTTCACTTAATACTGATGATATTTTTGCAGATACAAATTGGTATTACCTTTTTTCTTTTGTCTCGTGCTTTTCCTCCTATTTGCTTGTGGGATTCTCTCTTTAGCATTTAGTCTTTTTGTTGGCAGCACACTGGCTGACATTTCAAGGTGTCTTTAATGGGTGATTTGCCCTGCAAACACAAAGAGGTAGCTTCTAACAGTTTCTTGGCAGACTTTTAGTACAACCATTGATAGCAGCAACTCAGGCATCTTTGTCTCGGTCAGAGGGGTTTTGATCAGTAGTCATTCAGTATTATCTTTTTAAAAGGGGGAAAAAAAATTGGACTATACAGTGATTTGTGGTCCTGGATATCTGGTTCAGTTTCTAGGAGCTGCCTTGCTTCCAGATTGCTGACAGAACTATTTCAATCCTCATCCAAAAAGCCTTGTGTGGAAACACAGGATAACTTACTTAGCTCAGCAGGCTCCCAAAGAATATGTGACTTTTTCTTTCTTCTTTAAAACCTGTTTTTAAAGTTCTTGGGGGCAGTCTGTTAGCCTTACATATCCATTTTTATTCCTTGATCCTGGTGCACTGTGCCCTTGGTGGTGTCTGCTGTTCTTCATCCTTGTATCCTCACTTTCCAGTGCTGGTCCTTTAATGCAGGGTCACACAACAGTGTCTCTTATCTGTGTGATACTCCTGGGGTTTTTTGAGACCTTGATAAAATCTTTCTGTCTAAGAACCTGCTGTCAAATTTCTTAAGGCCAAACGCTGTTTTGTTCCTTTTTTCAGCTGTCATGTCTTTTCTCCAAAGTGAACAGACAAAAAATTCTAAGACATCTTAGCCTCGCGTCTCTGATAAGCAGTTTCATGTTGTTTTGATGATGTTTCATCTACAGTAGCATAGATACTAAAGGAGAGGAGTCTTTGTCCTGATTTCAGCTGGGATAGAGTTAATGTTCTTCGTAGTAGCAGGCACAGTGCTGTCTTTTGGATTTAGTAGGAGAAGAATGTTGATAACACACTGATGTTTTAGCTGTTGCTGAGTACTGCTTATGCTAGTCCACGACTTTTCAGCTTCCCATGCTCTGCCAGGTGCACAAGAAACTGGGAGGGGGCACAGCCAGGATAGTTGATCCAAACTGCCCAAAGGGCTATTCCATACCATGTGACCTCATGCTTGGTATATAAACTGTGGGGGGTTGGCCGGGGAGCAGCGATCGCTGCTTGGGAACTGTCTGGGTATCAGTCGGTGGGTGGTGAGCAGTTGCATTGTGCATCACTTGCTTTGTATATTATTATTATTATTATCATCATTATTATATTGTTATTATCATCATTACTCTTTTACTTTATTTCAGTTATTAAACTGTTCTTATCTCAACCCAGGAGTGTTTCTC